ACCAGTTGTCATCCAGGGAAGCTGCACTGCCAAGGGACATGGACAGCAGAAACAGGCGAGTATTTAAAAAAATCTTCAGGTTTTCCTTTTTTTAAATTTGCTGAATGGGTGCACATCTTGTCATATATACAGGGGCATCCATAATAGTTGTGTCTTGGTGATCCTCTTATCTTAAATCTCCCTTGCCCAGTCTTTTTGAAAACAACAGACTCTTTGGATGTGTGCCTTTTACTGCTTCAGGTGGGTTTGCATCTAACACTCCTCTGCCATCTGCTGGCTCGCTTCTGCTGGTAAATCTTATACTTTATATTCTCTGGTTGCCAGGGACATTGTGGACGTTTCATAGTATTACAGACTCAAATTGAAGGAGTGGCAGACATCGGCAGGCATTTTTTTCTTTCAATAATTGCAGCCAGCAGGAACAAACTTTGACAAAGCAATCGCTGTGTTGCAGCAGAACATGTCAGGCGTTTGCTCCTGCTGGCTGCGATTAAATAAAGAGAAAATTCCTGCATTCCAGTGCAATCTATTCTTCGATTGGAGGCTATAACAGAATCTCTAGTGTCATTAATAACATGAAACATCCACAATGCCCCCGGTAACCAGAAAACAGGGGATCTTAGCCAAGTTAAAAAACAGGGTTTGGATATGCTGATGTATGTATACGTAATGCACTGATTTATGTAAACTGTAAAGATAGGTTCTCACTAAAGTGATCACATGACACTCCCTCCTGCTCGAGTGATCACATGACACTCCCTCCTGCCTCATGCTCGAGTGATCACATGACACTGCCTCATGCTCGAGTGATCACATGACACTCCCTCCTGTTCGAGTGATCACATGACACTCCCTCCTGCTCGAGTGATCACATGACATTCCCTCCTGCTCGAGTGATCACGACACTCCCTCCTGCTCGAGTGATCACATGACACTCCCTCCTGCTCGAGTGATCACATGACACTCCATCCTGCTCGAGTGATCACATGACACTCCATCCTGCTCGAGTGATCACATGACACTCCCTCCTGCCTCATGCTCGAGTGATCACATGACACTCCTTCCTGCTTCAGTGACCAATTGCCAGGTTAAGTGCTAATACAAAAGGCGGGAAGGGGGCCTGTATATCCCTGTGTAAAGCTGGCCAGACACGGCTCGAATTTTGTCCAATTTCTGATGAATCACCCGAAATTCAAACCATGGTCCAAAAGTAAATTTATCAACCGATTTTTGCCGAAGTAAATCACTCTAAAAATGATCTGCTAAACAGTGTCTGCATACAATCAGCTGCACACGCCCTTTGGGAATTCAGCAGCCAATGGAGCGGCAGCTGCTGAATGAAATCGTTGGCAGCGGTCTGTTTAGCCTGGATGGGGGAATCAATGGGTTTCGAAATTCGAAGCATGTATGTACTTTCTTAGGAGTTTCTGGGCATTAGCAGCAGAACGCAGGAGTGGGGGAAGGCATGTACATTTCTCTTACTCAGACTTGTATGGGAAATGTAGAGAATGTAAAAAAAAAAAAAAAAGAGAGAACATAAATCCCTTTGAAATACACTTTCGTAAAAGGAGGCCAAGACTCACTGCTGATTTGAAGGTCACCCTCTCAGTATAAAAGACATGCTTACGTAATTGCATATCACCAGACAGCCTCCACCCAGTACTATCTTATACCTTCATATCTGGTATCTGCCATGCACAGGATAGTAAAATGAGATCATACATTTATACATTTGCTCCTAGGGGTGAAAGTGAGCTCACACTGGAAACTATTAGGCTTGTGACTCACGATTTTTATTGTACAGCTTCAAAAACATCCAAAATGACTATAGGCATGAACAGGATAAAAGCAATTTCCTGAAAATTGTATAGCAAGAAAGGATTTGTTTTGTGTGTATGCACTGCAATTTGTTTTTCGAGTCCTTTAAACTGCCACCAACAGGAGGACTGGACATTGGCAAACACCAAACCTGTAGGGCAGCCCGGGGTATAACCCTCCTACTACCAGCATGCCTTGCTTTTGTAGCAAAGCAGTACAGACAGCATGATCATTAATAGAGAGGGGTGGAACATGTGTCCCCCAATGAACCCCAAGAAATAACATTTTAAAAGTGATACCCTTTTACCTCCTGTTTCCAGGGACATCTGGTGCAGTTCTCTATGCGTTATCCACTAGAGAAATCTCTGACAAAGGAGCTGGTAATAGGCAATAATAAATGTAAATTTAAAGTAGTATTAAACTCTCAAACTTTTTTTAATAATGAATCCAGATCAAACAAATATACATCGCCCAGCATTTTGCCCAAACACTTACAATCATCATGTTTCTGAACAGCTTCTTCCAAGTCTCTTAGCTCAGCTTCCCCGAACTTTCTGTTCAGTACAAGATCACAAAGGACAGTGCAGACTGCAGCAACTTTTCATATTCTAGGAGAAAAGAGAAGGGCCAGGGAAGTTGCTTGCCCTGCTATGTCTGTGTTTGTAGAGACACACACAGCTTACCAGCACACACAAAAGTGACTCCATAGCACTCTGCTTGAGAAAGGAGTCACTCTAAAACAGGAAGACAGGGCCATTGCTCAGGGGACCAGCTGATTCTGCAGGAAATCAGAGATTTCAGCAGCATTAGAAATAGCTTAAAATCCACTTGACTTTAATATCACTTTAAATGTGGACTGGGAGACTTTCTTGCTTGAAATTGCATTTGTGGTCGCAGTTGACATACAGAAATGATGGGGAACTAATCGAACTGCCATCAATAGGGTTTAAAGGCCAACTCCACTCTCCCACCTCTAGTAAAGAAACCCTTTTAACACTAACCTTTTTCTGTTGTCTTCATGTTGTTCACATGGCACTGCAGGGTCCTTTTAGTCTTCACTGGCACTGAGCAGACCTTAATGATAAACAGCATTGCTGATGTGAAGTGATGAGTATTGCAGTCAGAGCTTCTTTTTTGTCTTAACTACTGGTGAGGCACCAATTTTTTTTTTTTTTTTTTTTAAGTTTAATTGCAATTTTAAGTGTCTGTGGCAATTTCAGTTAAACTGCACCCTGAACTCCGCAGGAAGTATACGCAGGTGAGAGCTAGGAAGGTGCCCTCCAGGTGCCAGCATGTGCCTTCGTTTCCAGAGCAGCACTGGGCCATTCTGCTATGCAAATTCCAAAAGATCACACTCTGGTACTCTAAGGACAATCAAAGCAAGCGCAGAACTCCTAATGTGCATATTTGTTCTGGGTTAGGGAGAAAATGTTGAAGCCACTGGATCAGCATGACAGCGAGGGAGGAGAGTTTAGCAATGGTAGTCTCCACATTTCCTCAGTACACAATCCCTTTAGGGATGCACCGATACCGGTAGTTTCCTTAAAGTGAAATATATTGAGAGGAAATCAAACCAACAGGGGTACACACAGCCCATCACTACTGTACCCAAAGCTAACAAAAATGTAGACTTTGGAGTTTTACTCTTAGGCCCCTTTCACAAAGGCTGAGGGAGTCCATGTATGGAACCCCTTTCTGAGCAGAGCTGTACGGATTGGATGTGACTGTTGTGGCATCCCGTGTCCGTCCAGTTTTTTCCATCTTTTGATAGAACAACTAAAACTGCTGGACCCTAGGTCTAGAAGGGAATCAGATATAAATGGACACGCGTCAGTTTACATCAGATTACCCCCAATCTGGCATGATTAGGTCCGTCAAAACGGATCTCTGATCTGTTCGTTTTTACAGACCTGGTCAGAGACAGGGATAAAGGCTTTGACACACTGCACGTGAAGCAGAACGGAGCGGTGACGGGCTGCCTTTGCGTCCAGTGTGTCATGTGATTTTCTCTTCAGCACGTCAGCTTGCAAGAGCTCGCACAGCTGAGCATGCCGAGATGAAAAATGTCATCTTCAGCCAATCGGCTCGTGCGTATAAACCCGTACATCAGGATGCAATCCAGCAGGTTGTTACGCACGAGCTGATTGGCGAAAGGTGCTCTCATTCATCTGCCTGCACTCCGCTCACACACTGCACGCAAAGCTCCGTGCCTGACAGCTTTGCTGCGCTCTCCACGGCTTCGTGTGCAGTGTGTCACGAGCTTAACAGTTTACGCCCGGCTGCTTATAGACTAGCAATGGGCATCCGATCAGGTCCGCTTGAAAAACTGATACTGACCGCCCGTGTGAAAGGGGTCTAAGTAGATCACATCCGTATACATAACAAATTCCAAACTACAGTTACAGTGTTACAATGCAAATAGAGAAAACTGTCACAATACTCAATAATTCTTATTTTCAAACATTTTATTAATTTTTTTTCTCCTTATTTTCTTGAGAAATATTTTACCATGTTTGCGGTTTCAGCTTTACGCCACTTTTTAAATTCTGACAGAAAATAAATGCCGCTTTGTTGTGATTTTTCATAAATAAGTTACCATATCAACACTAAAAGGACTGTCTGCTTTGTAAAGAAGAGTGCAAGTCGACGCTGAAAGAAAATAAAAAAATCAAACAATAACAGGGATATTAAATCGGCTCGGCCTATACATTTACAAGGGAATCGTATACACTTTGTCCAACAACAAAAAAAGATTAATTTATGGCTAATAAAACATAAGCATTTAGTTTAACCAATCTTGTTTTTTAGAAAAAGCTTACAGAACCCAAAGTAAATTTAAATATTACACAAATAATTTAAAGTAAAGAGCAGCTCCCTCTCCCTAAACCAAATCTCTGCAATTTGAGTGCTATGGCACAAACTTGATCCCATCAGGTCTTTGGTAGCGGTCAGGACCCTGCTGGGCATGTAAAGGGCCGATATTGCTTTTTCATTTCTCCAAATATTATAGAAACCCACTAGGGCTGCAGGGAACAGAAACCATCATCTGGCCCTGGTGTGGGAATAGGAATATATTGAATATATAGAGACAGGCCAGTGATACAAGTCGCTCAGCTGCAAAGCTGCACTCTCATACTGCCACGTGTGAGGAGGGATCGCCCTACCGAGCAAACAAAGATGACCTAGGTGGAGATAGGACCCCACTGCACACAGAATATAGAACTCTGTTTGGGGAGGGAGCTTCTCTCTAAGCGATGGCTACAAAGCAGAAGGTCATTATAAACATGCGCAGAATAAAACTTTTCTAATTTACACCGATTATTTTTACAAGATAATTACATATTAAACATATTACCAGTTAAAACATTTTTTTGTCAATCTACAAATGTGTTTTGGTTGGCTCTATACTTCAAATCAATTCATCTGTTGCTGTAAAAGTTCATCGATTTGAGTCTTGTACATATTTTTTACATCTTCTAAATCTAGGCGCAATTCTTCTGCCTCCTCCGCCTTCTCGCCGTACATCTGCAGTATGGTGTTGTATCTCTGGTCCAAGTCCTGTAACATTAGGCACAAGATTACCATGCTGGTACTAAGAAATCTATATACAGGTAGGCTGGTGCTGTCAGAGATCTTGTGAGCTGATAACTTCCTGTGCTCTCTACCTGTGCTGAATGTTCAATTACAATGTTCTCTGACTATGTAGCCACAAAGACACAAAAGGATAAGTGCAGGGGGTTCTGTAGTCCGATCTTGATTATGTTGTCCTTATACAGAAGGATGAATGAGTGTTGTCTTCCTAAGATGAGATGGTGTTAAGCCTGGCCGAAATTCGCATATGTATGCTGATTGAGGGATGCCAACCGAAAGGGAGCCGACAGCGGCACCCTCTGTGCGAATTTTGTCCAGTTCATGAAAGGACTGGCCAAAATCTGCATAATGTATTGGCCATACATTATGCGAATTTTGGCAAGTTCTTCAGGAACCGGACAAAATTTGCACAGAGGGTGCCGCTGTCGACATCCCTCGATCAGCTGATCAAAGGAGCCGGACGGAAAATATTTCAACAGAACCGGCAGCCAATGAGCTGCCGGATCTGTTCGGGTATTCTGATAGAGGCCAGTGGCTGCTGTCAGAATATTAAAAAAAGGGATCAACGCGCTCGTATTACTCATGGAGGAATCTGTTCTATTTTTTTCGTTCTGCCCGCGGGTTGAACGGATAAAAATAGAATAGTATATGGCCAGCTTTACTGACAAAATCACCAGGTGTGTGGGCCCACTAACGCCTATTATGGGTAACACAGACTTTGCACAGGGCCTGGAGAGTAGAAGGTTTTTGAGGTGGGAGACTAGAAAGCACTCTCCAATGATGCAGGCTATTAATGCTGCAGGACTACACCTTCTATTAGCCCTCGTTCCCACCTGACCGTTTTGTAGCACGTTCTACGCTCGACGAACGCTCTACAAAACGGTCAAAAATATAAATTGCATTGTAGTCAATGCCCTCGTTCCCACCTTGCCATATTTCCGCCCGTCCCTAATGCCCTACAAAACGGCCCACGCCTGAAGAGGTCCCGGGACTACTTTGGGCCGTTTTGTAGGGCGTTTTCCATTGGGATACAGCCAAGTAGCCTACGGAATCGCGTGACTTTTTACCGCGAATCGCGGCAAAAAGACGCGCATATTACAATACGCCTAGGTGTGAATGGGGCCTTAGACCTACTTCCACTGAATAAACAGAATAGGGGCAGATGGTTTGAATACCTACAACTCAAACATTTTTATTGATGCCTGTGCTCGCAATAAATTGTATTTAGAGATTAGACTCCATTTGAGGAAATCTATCTGAATAGGGCAGGGAGTAAACATATGGTATCTAGACTATATTTAACATTTTATTGACCCAGATGTATCCGATGACCCCGTATTATATTAAGGACTGGGAACGTGAACTGGGACACTCAGTGAACAGAAGGAGGACTGGAATAAGGTTTTGTACTTAACTTTTAAATCAAGTATGGAGGTTAAAACACAGGAGAGAAATCTCAATATACTAACAAGATGGTATAGATGCCCAACAATAGCACACAGAATGAATCCCCAAATGTACTAAGTTGTGTTAGGAGGTGGGGAAGGGAAGAGGAGACAGTGCTACACATATGGTGGTCATGTCAGCAGATAAGAACATACTGGAGATTCATTTTTGAGATAGGGCGCTACCTGACGGGATTATGTATGCCAGAGATCTCGGAGGTGGCACTGCTGTCAATGCATCACGGCCCATTAACAGAAATAAAAAAAGGGCAGTAATCCCACAGTATCCCCCAGGTGCGGGGAGTGGGTAGCTGAATTAAACAATACTATGTGTATGGAGGAGCATACAGCCCGCCTTCCATGTTAGGTACCGGTTTGTGGAGAAGTGAAGACCTTGGATGGAGTATATTAGCTCACCAGAAGTCCTGGAATATTTGTAGGGGATAAAAGTAATGATGTAAAAATTAAATACCCAGGCCTTGGGTGATAAACATATTTGAGGATTGTTATAAATGAACCAGTTTTTCCTTTTTTATTTATTATTTTTTTTAGGGAGGGAAGGAAGGATGGAGGGATGTAAAGATGTTGTGCAAGTGCAAGGAATATAGAAGTCAATAATTTTTTATAAGAATGAAGGGTAAAAGATATGACGAAGGTTTTCTGTGTATAAAATGATGATATTGTGATGTAAGCTATGAGTTGATATTAATAAAAATAAATATTCTTTTAAAAAATTAAAAAATCATCACCAGGTGAAAAAAAGAAGACAAGGAATACAGCCATCTAAGAATTGGTACGGCTGCAATATATAAGATTTGTGTCTTTGAGCTTACATATACTTTAAGAATGAGGTGACTAATGCTCAGGATTTACATCTGGCATACTGAGTGATACTGTGAGAGGTAGGGGTTACAGCCCAAGGCAAAATGAGGAGATGGGAGGAGGGATCAGTCATGCAAGCTGGAGCCATCTTTATTTATAGAACAGAATACAGTAACAACTCACCTGCAAATCAATGTGGACTATAACTATTTATAAAAAATTGGAGCCCTTAATATGTTACTCACAACCCAGGTCTTCTTACCTTCATCTGAGCCCGCAGTATGGGAATCTCTTTCACCTTCTCTTCCAGTTCATCATTTAAATTGTTCAACTTCACAACTTCTTCAGCAAGTATAGAGCGAGTTTTTTCCAAGTTCCCGATTTCAAGCTGGAAGTAAAAACATTACAGTAAGGAATTATTGTTAGTGGGCCACAATGAGTCACACATACCGAAAAAAATACACTGAGGGAGATTTATCAAGCAAAATAGCAACAGAATTAGCTGCATAACAAGTCAGGCTGCCTCTTATTCAGTAACACATTCGATCCAGGAAATCACAGTGAGCCCCAGCAGATGTCCTAACACTTCAGTTTTTTTTTTATAACCAATACATTTTTATTGAGGTTTTACATAGTACAAGACAACATAACAGCATAAGTAAGGCCCTGACCAATTACAGTGACCGAGACTGCCAGGTGGACATAAAGAGTATAAGTTTGATAAGAGGCAAAGTGCATCTTAAGCACATAAAACAACAACAGAACATTCATGTAAACTACGTATTAAACATCAGATATAGTGCAGACAGCATCTTGATGTAAAATAGGATAAAAAAACTTTCAGCAATGGGCCAGTTGTTTTTTTTTTAAACCCAACAAAGCTCAATTAGATGCATATCAGGAAGTTTTTTTGGCTGGACATACACTGTTAGAATTTCTGCTGATTCACAGGAACCAGCAGGTAAATTGTTTTGTAAAAGGACAGGTTGTTACAGTTTTCTTCTTTTTGGTACAAAACAAAAAGAGAAGAACACAGAAGAAAAAGTCACAAATGATGTAGCCCACAATTTGTACAACATAACAAAACCTGGCTTACAAGAATACACCAGGAAATGCAGTCATCAGTTATTTGTACAAGTATCTGACATTTGGATATACAATATTTTATGGAGGTTTACTATACACTTTTTCCTATAAGTGCTAATAATTATACTACAAGATATAACTAATATGCAATAATAAATAGATAAATAATTTAAAAAAAAATAAAAATGCATTACATTCACAATATGGTTTTCTTATATAAAGTGACAGTATACTCCGGAGTTAAATCTTAAAAATAGCATTCAAGTACCTAAACTATTAACAACAATGTATTTTATTTGTGTATCACTCGGCTGTAGATCCTCAAATCATCTCTGAATTGGTGCTGACACTGTCCTTCCTTCTAGAGGGTGGCTACTTTTATTCCCCATGGTTCCTGTGCGAGTTGTAAAGTAGCCACCGCTCCAAGCAAACGCCCGGGATGGACTACAATCTCACATTTTGTTATCCAATTAGTATTGAGATGATAGTCTATCACAGGAGTGAGATTGGAGCGGTGGCTACTTTACAAAACACACAGGGACCATGGGGAACAAAAGTAGCCACCCTCCAGAAGGAAGGACAGTGTCAGCACCAATTGAGAGGATCTACAGCCGAGTGATACACAAATAACACACATTTGTGTTAATAGTTAAGGTACTTAAATGCATTTTTAAGATTTAACTCCTGAGTTTAGTGTCACTTTAATTTGTTGGTGCTTGGATAAAACAGGATGTATCTAGGACCTCGACATATATTTTTAAAATTGCAAACAAAAATTCATTTATTTTATTTTTTTTAAACACAGACACATTTTTTGAAAGTCTGTAAAGTCCTGGAAAATCCAATACCTGAAGCTGGGCGATCTCGCCTTCTCGTAGTTTTAGCTGTGACTGTAAGTTTTCAATGACGCTGGAGCCAGCGCCCATCCGCACAGCATCGTAGAGGTTAGTACCACTGATAGACATGGTCATCGATCCATAGAGGTTGTCATGAGACTCATCCTGGGTTAAACAAAAAAAAAAAAAACAAGGACAGAAATTAACACATCAAGATAGCAATAGACAAAAGTAAAATATAGATAATTACAGTACAGAGAGAAAAAAAGTCTGAGACTTTATTTGGGATTTTTACAGTTTGACACGGAACAAAAAACAAAATAGTATGATTCCGTTTTGCTTACCTGGACCAAAAGAGACGTCTGCATACCAGTCAGATCTACCCCGCTAACTGAGCTAGATCTGGACAGTGTTGGAGTGGGAGTGCCTGGTTCTGCTGAAGGTAATCCATAAGACTTACGTTCCTTAAAAAAACAAAACACATTAATTAAAGAGAGAGAAAAAAAACCTGAATAACGATTATTTATTAAACATGTTGTTGTGGAACACAGTGTCCCTGAATTATTCATCTGTCATATTACTTACGGTGTGCTAAAGAGGTTTCTCAAGCACTATTATTGCATTGGAAGTCATCGCTTGAGTAACTTTTGAACAAACCAATACTGAGAAAATGATGGTTGCCGCTATTGCTGACTCCCTAAGAATACTAGTTGTCTTTGCCTTCAGTACTTTGAGTTGTAGATCTGGAGCATGCCGACTAGAAAGTCATTGCAAAGTCAAAACTCCTGATCTACATACTTAGGTCTATGCCTCAAAGTGCTAAGGCTACAGAATCATCATAACAACCAGGCAGTTAGCATTTTTCAAAGGTAGGTCAGCAATGGACAATTTAGGATTTGGTGAATCACAATATTGCAAGTGCTTTCCTTTACATATGTTTTTGGCACAGAGTGTGACCTTCTATGAACTGTAACTATTGCCATTGTTAACCTCTTCCTACCTGCAGTACAAAATTGAATGACCGTATTTAAAAAAGTAAAATCTTTTTCTTTAACATTTTTGTGAGGATTAAAAAGTTAACAGATGCTGCTAAATTTGGCACGAGCATCTAGGTATCAATGACTTCTGGCCATGAAATGGTTATTAAGGGACCTTTGCCTTGTGACACACACATGTGCATATTACCTTCTCTTTCACAGCTTCTTGGGCTAGCAAGACCTTCTTCTTCTCCTGCTCCACCCTCATCTTCTCCATCTCCAACTGATTGGTCAGCATATTCTAAAAAGCAAACTCCACAATATAAAATACATGACAGGAAAGAAGCAAAATGATGAAAAGAGACATGAATAACCAATTATGATCTAACCTTTTCTTTTCTGGCTTCTTCAACCATTTTCTTGTACTCCATCTTTAGATTTTCCAGCTCCACTTGGTTTCTGTAGGACAAAAACAGTTTATGGTTAGAGGTTTTGCTCACACAGGGCTTGGTGAACAAATTGCCTGGGAGCAGTAACTATGTAACTATGTAGGTCACGTACATTCTTGCAGCCCTTATAGAGGTTCACGGCATGCAAGCATTGACCAAAAGCTAGATTAGCAACATGCAGTCTAACGCGTTCTATGACTGCCATCTAGTGTTTGATATAAGGAAGTGACCACACTGGCAACAATGTCTTGAACTTAGCAAACAGCAAGAGACATACATGTAATATTTTGCTTGAAAGGAGTTTATCAGCAGAAGAAACTTTGCATGTCTCTTCTGCTAAAAACAAAATCCCTTTCCCCATCTCCTAGCATTTTATTGCCTAGTATAGATAGGCCTGTGCATTGCAATCTACTTTGCCAGCCCATTCCCGCCAACTATAGTATGCAGGGATGATGAAACTCCTATGTACATGCACAGGAGTTACATCATCAGTGACTGCCCAATGGCGAAAGACAAGAAATTGGTACCTGCAGGAAGACTGGGAGCGACAGAGAGGGACAGTTCTGACCTGCTGGGTCTGTAGAAGGCAAACTGCCAGAAGAGCCGGTCAAAATGTCACATAGTGTCAAGAGCAATGGATCTAGAGTTTGGCTTTATAAAAGACACTTTCACCTGCCCATTCAAGGCAAAGTGACAGTTCCTTCTTGTATCCTACACTCCCTAGTAGGGATGCACCGACACTGTTTTCTTGGTATCGAGTACTGATATTTTTTTTCCGATACTCACCAATACCGGAAGTCCCATTAAGGAAGCCAGACGGCTTTTAATGACTCGCCGTCTGGCTTCTTGCTTATCGGGGAAGCCGGGCGGCGTGTAAAGACTCGCCAGCCGGCTTCCCAATTAGAAGTGAAGCCCTCTCCATGCTTCTCGTCACTAGGTGACGAGGGAGCATGGAGCAGGCCAATCAGGAAGCCGGCCAGCGTGTAATGACTCGCTTCCCTGCTTCCTGATACCGGAAGCAGCTGAAGTATTGGGCGAGGCATCGGAACACATGGGCGAGTACTCGCCAAAATACTCGGCATCAGCACCGATACTAGTATTGGTATCAGTGCATCCCTACTCCCCAGCAAGGAATACTTACCAATCTGTGCTTGCTCGTCCACCCAGAGTAAGCTACGGTGTTGTTGGTTAGTGTCAAAAATAACCTGGGTGGATGGTATCACTGCCCCACCAATGCAAAGTGTTCAGGTCCGGTGACTGGCTTCTGAAGCCAGAACTTTTTCATATGCTCCCCCACACCTGGAAGCCTTTTTCAGCTACAGCAAGGGACTGCTTAGGTGGCAAGGGAGCACGGATGGGCAAGTATAACAGTGCCTATTAAAAAAGTTATCTTAAACGAGCACGCAGCAAATCAAAGTCAGGGAAAAGTGACAATTCTTTATCTTTAAACTTGTTCCAAGTCAGTGACTCAACAATCTAAAGCCAAAGCATTTGCATTACAGCAACTGGAACTGGAACTAGCAACAGCCAACTGAATCTTTATCTCATGGCAGGCACTTTCAGCTTTCAGTCTGTAACCTGCACTATAGAAAAAAACATGGAAGCTCACTGGTTCCTTTTGACAGCAGCTCCATTACTGCTCTTTCTTAAAGGAGAAATGCTTAAAACATAGTGCACGTATTCTTTTTGCCACTTTGCTCTGACATAACCGATCTCACCCTCCCCATAAACAGATGCACACTGCCCTAGATCCAACGGCTGCGCCGCAAGTCTTTACTGTCCTGGACATGCCTGCACATTATAGCCCCACATAAGTCTATGGGGCTCATCTAACTTTGTCTCTGAAGACAAATGTGGAGGTGCAGCCGGGACAGATAGGAAGAAAACAATCCCCGAGGCCACAGCCTTCAGATATCAGTAAGTATACATCTGTGGAGGTGGACGTTGAAATTAGTTAGGTCAAGGCAAAAAGGATAAGTACACTTGTCCTTTAAAGAAACCTTTCACAGTCAAACTCAAACATTAAAAGTCAGGTCTCTCTACATACCTGCTGTGCTCTTCCTCCATCTTTGATAGCCTGGACTTCTCCACCTCTAGTTGAGCCTGCAAGCGGCACTTTTCCTGCCGGAGAAGACTATTCTGAGACTCCATTGCTGATATTTGTATCTTTATAGACAAGAGTTCCTCTGCAGATGCTCTTTCTTTCTCCACTGCTGATGCTAACCAAGTCTGGGATTCAGCTATGGCAAAGAGAGGAGTCTTGGAGTTACAAATGGTCTATGAGGTTAAAGGAGAAGATGATAATGAAATATATAATGATGCATGATAAACAATCTGCTGAATTATTTTAATCCATTATGAAACAAATGCAGTGGTGCGGGGGCTTCCTTTAATACAAACCAGTCATTACCATCCTCTCTCAGCATGCATGTTGACTGGTCTTGTATCCTCCCCTCTGAAGTTGTCCACAGCCAGCCTGTATTGGGGTGAAGTATGCTGGGCCCCACCTATAGCTTTGCTTTCTGCACATGTGCAGCACAGTGACTATGCCACTGTTATTTATATATGGAAATATCCGGATCTGCAGAGTCAATCGATACATGCAAAAGTAGATTTATATATTTTGTGGCTATTGAGGAAGAGAGATTTAAAGCTCTGCCTGGAGTTCAACTTTAAGCATTTTAATTTCCTGTGCAGTGGGGTACAGCCCACAAGGAGAGGAGCATGCTTTTCTGTTTTTGCTTAGTATACGTCTTCCTACAAAACAGGTTTATATCCCAGATGTTGTCTTGTTCCCCCAATGAACTCTTTATGAAAAGGGCTTTATGATATAGTACAAAAAGACCCCATATGTAATGTGACCATCTGTTTAGAATTTAATGGTAGTGTGAAAACTGTTCTTACTGAGTCGATCAGATAGATTCTTCTCCAGTTTCTCCCAGGATGCTGTCTGTGCAGCCAAGGTGGCTTGTAGGTTCTCGATCTGACGCAGCAAAGGTCTGGTGGCTGAAGTGACACTCTGACTCAATTCCTGGTTCCGAGCTTCACCTTCTTGCAGTCTCTGCCACATTTACAGTGAAAACTTAATTTCATTTTTCAAATATACTTAAAAGAAATGTTTGCAAGATAGGTAAATATATATTGCATCACTCTAATTATATACACAAAATCTTTATCTGCTATTCTTTGCTTGCGCTGCTTGCTACCCATCTCCAGTTATACAGGAGTGGCGGATCTAATCCAAATAACAGACATTTGCATTCAGAAATACATTGGCTGCCATTGCGCCCCTCCTCCTTAAAATACTAGTTTCCTGGTTGTCTTGCATCCATATTTTTTGAGCCACTGACCCAGAACAAGCATGCATCAATTAAGTCAAGCACGAACTCCTGATCTGTAGGCCTGTGTCAAGTCAGTAAAAGAAAGTGAATTGTGAACCACTGAAGCCATTGAAACAGAATGACAGCCAGGCAGCTAGTATTTGCTAAAAGACTCTATTGAAATGAAGGTTGGGGGCTAAACATCTATATACACAAAAAAATGAATCTCTCGGGTCTCCTACCGCAAATATTCAATAGAACTAATTTTACCCTCTATCGGGAGATCCTATCGAAAAACATGTGAAACTATATGCAAATATGTATCAAAATGTAATCTCAAAAACTGCATAATATACCGTATTTTTCGCTCCATAAGACGCACTTTTTTCTCCCCAGAAGGCGGGCAAAAATGTCAGTGCGTCTTATGGAGCGAATGTGTGAGAGCTCCCTCGTCCCTATCGCCCGGGACATGCAGTTTCAGGAGCGTAGTTTTTTTGTACATTTAGCCCTGCTCCTGACAAGCAAAGCTAAATGCATAGTGTGGAGCCGCCACTTGTTTTCATACAAGTGAACTTATTAGATCACTTGTAGGAAAGGAGCAGTGGCGATCCTGTCCGCCCCGGTTTTCTGGGTCCCCCGCTCCTCTGGGGAAACCGTGACCACGGCATAGAAGCTCACCAGAGCCCCTAGAGCAGACGAAGAACGTCCGTTCTTCGTCTGCTCTGTGTGATCATTGAGACCGTGGCACTGTAATCACATCGCCACTTGTCTCAGCTGTCACTAACTACAGCTGTCAGAACCCTACCCTCCCTGCGCCCTATGGTCCGGTGCGCCTTATGGAGCGTAAAATATGGTATGTATACAAAAGCCAACAGGGGAAGTACTTGATAAGTACTTATCAACTTTCATCATCCTTGTACGGCCATACGTTCAATTGACGTCCCGTTTGAAGTTTTGTATCGGTTGGGATTGATTAGATGTGCGTCCTGAAATCATTCAACCCTCCAAGGTAGACTGAAGATGTTGAATCCTTTTCTGCAGTATTGCCTTGATCAAATTCTCAGTTGTTGGACATCTATGTTGATGATATAGTGCTCCAAGGACTTATTTTGTCATTAATGATATGATCATCCTATGTGGAATGTATAGACAGTGGAACAACGCATTAGATGATGACTTGTTGCAAATAGATCTTCAACACCGGATACATTGTTGGATTCTTGAGACTTTATAGCCACATGGATTATCAACTTCTATCAACCAAGATTGGGTGAATCATGAATATTATTTGATGTTGATTATACCACTAGCCATCAGAGGGGTTGAGAGCTTTTTAAATGATTTTAAATGTTTGTATACATGTAATATGCAGTGTTTGGGATTACATTTTGATACATATTTGCATATAGTTTGACATATTTTTTCGCTCTTTGATAGAATCTCCCGTTAGAGGGTAAAATTAGTCCTATGGAATATTTGCTAAAAGAAAGGGCGGCAATGGCGATCATCGTAGAGCGTGTTACGTTTTTAAAATATGTATATATTGTTAAAACAATTAAAAACAGACATTTAAAAAGGTAAAGTTGCTTCTTACAGTGTCAAAATACAATAACAATATTCCTTTCCGATTGTATGGGAGCAGTATTTTTTCTACGGGCTGAGGCAGGCCAATAGAAAAAAAATCAGCCAATGACAGATAAAGTAAGTAAGTGGATTTTTGCACCAAGTTTTTACAGCAACCATCTAGAGCTGTACAGAGAAATATTTTTTGCATGTTTCATGTCTTGGTAAACTGCAGATCACCTGTTGCAGTTCTGCAATTTCTTGCCGCAGATAATCCTCCTTCCTTGCTGCCTGTTGCTCTGCTCTTTGAAGGGCAATTCTTAGATCAGTCACCTGATAACAAAAAAGGAAGAAAAATCAGATTTCAGCCACAAAAAAAAAAAAAGAACATTTGTAAAATGGATGCAAGGTTGCTACAAGTTCAGCTGGAAGCTGAAACAAACGGTGTCTTTCCAGCTACTGGTATACTACATATTCCACTGGAGAAATACTGTGCAGGAATATGAAGTTTCACAAATGCTGGGCAATCACAATGTGCTAATTCATTATAGAACTCACAATATTGTTTTGGCTTTACTTCTCTTTTCCGTCACAGAAGTACATTTACTACTAAGTCAGCATATAGCAGGCTAATGCCTGCAGTGTCCCACGCTGGCTCTTAGTATTGGTAGGAGTATTTTTTACTCTTCTTATACTTCTCCTTTAACTGGCCAGGGCCACTAGCATGGATGACCCATGGTCCCAAAAGACTTAAACTACTACTTTTGTGCCTGCAGAGGTTTAATTTAGGTCTATATGAATGTGAGCATCCAATTGTCAGCAGAAGACAACAACAGACAACACAGATTCTGGTAAACATTTGGCTCCAATAGATAATTCAATAGCCTGTACAGAAAAACAGAGCATGCTGTGAAAGAAATGTGTCTAAAAAGGATTAAAAACGAATCATGTGACGTTTAGTTTACTCGCCTGCATCGCCAATGCCTCCTGCTGCTTCTGTGTCTCCTCTTTGGCTTTCTCCAGTGCAAAGCACATTTCTTCTTTTGCTTTGATCTCGCAGCTTAACGCCACTTCCTGAGCCTCGCTGGCTTTTGTAGCATTGGCCTTGTGCAACTCCGCAAGCTCTCTGAAATAGTAAAAAGAGACACGCTTCTGAGATTACCAGGGTCAGCAGACGAACAAGACTATAAAGCACCTGTCTGAAAACCTTCTGTCACAGACCCTCAGTAGCGCTGTGCTCTGGGGCCAGACTGCAGCCACAGGTGACCAATACAAAAAGTAATTCTAGAAGAAGTAATAGCAATGAGCTGCTGAGAGCTCCTTCTAGAGGCTGATCTACAAAAAACTCTGCATATATAAATTATATCTAGAGCCAAAATGACTTTTTGCTTTCCCTGTTCCATTGGTCAGATTCCCCTAAATTTTCCTGTCGTTAATTTCCGGAACAGGCAAACAATTTTGTTAGTAAGGCCATCGGAGGTACCTCTGCTTGTGTCCTAGTAATCAATTTTGGATGTCCTATTTGTTGAGTATCAACAACAACAAAAAATGATTTCCTGACATTGTCTTGTTTCCTTACTTGTAGGAACTGTCCAAAGCAGATTGGAGGCTGCGGTTGTTCTCTTGAACTTCCTCCACTTCAGCCTGTAGTCTTCCCACATCCTTCTCCTGCCTTTCCACCATGCCGTTCAGCTTTCTGATGTTCTCCCGATGCTGCTTCTCCAGCTCTTCCTTACCGTCTAATGTCTGCAAGACAGATATTTCTTACTGCCTAAAACTAATACCACTCCAAAGCCCTAAGCCAGGATTTTCATTGGAAATACTGTCAATGATTTGAGCCCATTATATAAAGATACATATGTAGGCTCTTTGTAGGCCGAACAGCTTATGCCAGCTTATCATGGTTCAGTTTTGTGTTAAGACACAGGTGGTCTTGCAGAATAACAGAAGATAATGTAAATGTATTTTAAATGGTCTGGATATCTTGCAGAAAATAATAAGATGTGCAAAGGGGTATCTGGTACCCTGTGCTACTCTTATGTCTCGTGTGCCATCATTCCCTTGACAAACTGTCCTGATTCAAGTGCATATCTGGGCAAATTAAAAAAAAAAAAAACAAGGCTGGCAGGAACAACAGGTATTTGCAATCCTCTTAATGAGACAGAACATAGTGAAAATTCTCAGCACAAAAAAACCTAATTATTCTGGTTTCAACATCTCAGGTTTAAAGTCACCTCTGCAAAGTGTTTTCCTTATCTCTAATCTATCTGAGTTTCCAACTTGGATGAGCCTTTAGACATCCAATCAGCAGTGAGAGCACCACAGGAGCCGGAGGACATAGAAAATTATGTAGTGGATCCCTCGTCTCCTCGGACATGACGGCCCTAATTACAGATGTACCATATGTCCTTATTTAGTGAGCCGTAAGGGGCAGAAAGACCATGCTGCCAAGTGGAGTGAAATAGCAAATGGTCCAAATAACCCACAAAATGTATGTGCGTGGCAGATTTTGAATATCCGGACAGTGGAGAACATTTTGTGATTTTTGCTAATAACCACTAGTGGTAACCATTAAGGCCCAGTAGAATGAATGGCATATCTGAAAGTCTCGAGATTCCAAAAGTTGATTCTGGGAGACTTAGAATCATGATCCAAAGGTTTCCCAGCAAAAACAATAAAAAGACAAGTTTACATTTTTGCTTACACCATCCACGGTGTGTGTATTTTTCCTGGACAATATACTACTGGATTCAAGTGGAGTAAGGAGTACTCAAAAATGGAGTACCCATAGTTCATACTTTTGCTGGGTCTACCTACACACCTCAAACTGAAGGGACAACGGCGTATTGTTAAAGTGACAAAGGATTTTTTTCCCCTCCCCCCCCATGTTAGTGTAAGGACTTACCTTAAATGATGCCTCTTAATCCGATCATCATCTTCCTTACTGTTGTTTTTAGCTGTCCCTCCAGCGCTGGGTGCGGGTCTCCGATCCAGCGCCGACTCCTCTATCCTCCTCTTCTCTGATGTCCCACGAAGTCAGTGCGGGTGCACGTTGCTCCATAGACTTACCTTGTGTCTCTCCTCGTCTCCCGGCCGACCATCTGAACTGCGCATGCGCCCGCCCGAGAAATTTTCAGATGTTCGGCCAGGAGCGCGTGGCAAAGACACAGGTAGGTTTAACCCTGTTTCAAAACTTTTTTTAAAAGTTTTTGCATATACCTACTGCTAGCAAGTAGATGTATGCAAAAAAAAGTTGAGGGTTTAATAACCCTTTAAGGTGCACTAAATATGTTTTTTTTTTTCTTCTGTCCAGGCATACAATTTAAAAGTAAAAGAAAGAAAGAAAAATTAGAAGAGACATGGCCCTTCACTTGCTGAGAAGACAGTACAAATAAGGGGGCTGCACAACCTTACCTGCTTTAACAGCTGCATTTCATCCTCCAGCTCCCGAATCTTCTTTCCCTGTTTTGTGACTGTGTGCTCGTGCTCCTTTTCCTTCGCTCGCAGCTTTTTGATGATATTAGAATTGTGCAGCTGTTGTTTAGAAAGCTTCTCCCCTGTCACAGCAGGAAAAGTTCAGTTAGGTAGGGATCAAAGAGCTCTATCAGTTGTTGCTGCTAACTGATGTATGACTGCTGACATTTATAAGTCTGCAAAATCTCTGCTGAAATCATACCTGGCTTGTTTGTTTTATTGGTAACAGAACTGGTGAAGTGACATTGTACTGAGGACACTGAGAAGTGAGCAAATACTACTTGCTGAAAAGGATGATTCTGCACTAACCACACACATAAAATATACACTGAGTGGCCAGATTATTATGACCACCTGACGTTTGTAGGCAAATTAGCTATAATTTCGTACTGAAGTTGCTAGAGGGCCAGACCATTATAAATAGGGAATCAGGTTGTTTACCACGACAGTAGAAGTGATTTTTTTCTGAAGATACGGGTAAACAACGCGATTTAACAGCCTTTGAACGTGGGATGATTGTTGGCGCTCGGAGCCATGGAGTGAGTATCAGCAAAACCGCAGAATTCGTTAAATGTTCAAGAGCAGCTGTTGTTAGAGTGTTTAAAGACTGGACGGTCAGCCGAAAATCTGGGTCTGAACGTGTGAATTGTGGCCGTTAGCGACTAGTCAATGTTAGGGCAGAACGGAGACTGGCAAGGCTGGTACAAGACAACAGAAGGGCAACAGTGCAGTGCCAGATTCCTCGCATCACCTTTCAACATCTCGTGGAGTCACAAGACGGCCCAACAAAGTAATCTCGTGGCCCAACAAAGTACTGATGGGGTGGTCATAATAATCTGGCCACTCAGTGTATAAAAGGGAAAAGTCAGAAACTGTTACCATACAGAGTTTATGTCACAAAGTATAGGTAATATGTATATAGTTTTATTTCCTGAGTTTTAAATATTTCGCCTGAGCTTGTAGTGAAATAAAGTCTTTGTTGTGTTTATCACTGTGGAGGGGAGTGGCAGGCCCAATGAATTGCAAATAGGGCTGATAATCAGGTTTTTCCTGAGCCAAGACCCTTTAATCTAATAACAAGTAGACTGGCCAATCGTAGAGAGGGGTGTGGAGTTGTAAAGAGGGTCTTGGAAACCCTCCAATCTCCAGTAGGCCTTGGGAGGCAACCAATGGGAGACTTGTCATGCATCCCTATGGACACGAGGGGTATATTAATAACTGGAAAAAACAGCTTGGCCTCTTTTCACCAGGATGGGGCCTCATGTGACGATTAATGGGTAACTATACATATAATCTTTCCCCCACTTAACTGTATGTCTGTTTGTCGGTTAGATACCAATGTCTGGGTATTTGGCATGTTTAAATCTTTTCTTTGTATGTTGTAGTTAAATAGATTGTTGGTTCATTGTATTTAAGTCTTGATACTATATACCAATAAATTCTGTTATTGTGTTGAGCTCAAAAATCTCATGAATGAATCCTTAGAATATTATACCTGTAAGTGTGAATGCTTATATAGCGGTTCATAACTTAAAATAGTAATTCAGGTAACA